GCGGATGCAGTATACCACATTGGCAGATGTGCAGGTGAACATCTGCTGGATCGTCAAGTGGGTCAAAATTGGTCTCAATGTTTCTTGCCAATGATTGTGCCATACATCCATCAGAGATGATGCAAAGATTGTGACAATTTGACTTCATAATTATATGGGATTTCTGAAGGGGAAAGAATTTCATACAATCGGTTTGAGTTGAATTTAGACTCTGAACTCTAGACTGGAGCCATTTATTTTATTCCTAATGTTTGCTTCAGTATTTGGGTAGAACTAAGAGATATTTGTTTTCTATTCCATCTTGCAGGATATGTTTATTTCTTCCATGGATCTACTCAGTTCCTGTTCAACATCAGAGAGCAGCGAGTGCTTCAGATTCGCAGAATTAACCATTGGGTGGGCTGTTAGACAGACGCCTAGCCAAGGTGACCTTCCCTGTGTTTAACTGTTCGAATATCACATCAGCAAAAACCATGATTTGCTAGACTTTCAGTAACTACTAATCCATATTCAACAGATATAAGAAAAACCTCAAAGTATATTTTTTAATGATTCTAGATAAAATAACAATTTCAATTATTATAAATGGATGTACTGTTTGAAATAATTTAATTTTAATGTTCTATGTTAGTCATTTCTACATGTTATTTATTATATTTCTATACAACAGATTTAATTTACAAAATATTTTAAAATATTTTATGTTTTGATATTTATGCTGCATTCCTGGTGTATATGCAGAACATCCATGGTGATGAGACAGAAGTATTTTTTATTAAATATTTAATTATGTTATTGTGCATATTCTTGAATAATGTGCCGCAAAGCCTCTTTGGTTATGAAAAGTGGTTTCATGAGTAAATATGTCATAAACAAAATTAAATGGCATGAAATTAATTTGCTGATGAATCCTACTTGGTTTGTGTCACACCACACCTCAGTTTTGTACAAGAAGATGTTTTAAAAGTGAATAAATGTGAAGCTATTTCAGAATATGTTCAACCTTCTGTTCAAATCATTAGACTCAAATTAGGGCCTTCAGGACCTAGTACCATGAAACCATAAGATAGAACAGCAGAATTAGGCCATTCAGCCCATCATGTCTGCTGCACCATTTGATCATGGCTGATACGTTTCTCAACATCATTCTCCTGCTTTCTTCCTGTAACCCTTGATTTCCTTACCAATCATCAACCTATCTATCTCTCTGCCTTAAATACACTCAATGATCTGGCAATAAGTTCCAGAGATTCACCACCATCTGGCTGAAGGAATTCGTCCTCATCTCAGTTCTAAAGATTCATCTTTTCATTCTGAGGCTGTGCCCTTGGGTCCTAGTCTCTCCTACATAGTGAAAACATCTTCTCCACATTCACTCTATCCAGGCCTCTCAATATCCTGTAAATTTCACTGAGATTCCCCCCTCATCCTTCTAAATTCCATCGAGTATGGGCCCAGAGTCCTCAACTGCTCTTCATATGATAAATCCTTCATCCCTGGGATCATTCTTGTAAACCTTCATTGGACCCCCTCTAATGCCAGCACATTCTTCCTTTGATGTGGGTTTTAGTAAGTGCCCCTGAAACATTGTTGTTGCATTTGTCAGATCGCACAAGCCCCCTGAACTGACACTGATATCACCTTGTTGACTCTTTGAGGCAAAGGTGGGGTGGCCAAGAAAAATAATGTGTCTGAGGATTGGGAGCAGTTTAGAATTCAGCAAAGAAGGACCAAAGGATTGATTAAGAAGGGGAAAATATGGTATGAAAGTAAGCTTGCGGGGAACATAAAGACTGACACTAAGAGTTTCTATAGGTACATGAAGATAAAGAGATTGGTAAAGACAAATGTAGGTCCCCTACAGACAGAAACGGGGGAATGTATAATCAGGACAAAGAAATGGCTGAGGAACTGAATACATACTTTGGTTCTGTCTTCACAAAAGAGGACACAAATCAGACACCAGAATTGTTGGAGAATGCAAGATTTAGTGAGGGGGGGAGAATTGAGGGGGATCAATATTAGTCAAGAAACAGTGCTGGGAAAATTGATGGGATTGAAGGCAGATAAATCCCCAGGGCCTGATAACCTACATCCCAGAATACTTAAGTAAGTGGCTCTAGAAATAGTGGATGCACTGGTGATCATCTTCCAGGATTCTATAGACTCTGGAACAGTCTCTACAGATTGGAGGGTGGTAAAGTCACTCCAATATTCAAAAAGGGAGGTAGAGAGAAAACATGAAATTATAGACCAGTGAGCCTAACATTGGTAGTGGAGAAAATTCTTGAATCCATTATCAAGGATTTTATAGTGGAGCATTTAGAAAGCAGTGGCAGGATCAATGTGGAAGAATAATTAAAGCATAAAAACAGAATGTAGCTAAAGTTTAGAATTAGAGGCTGGAATGATGGGAAAATATGTCAAGTAAGATACAAATGACAAATTGTTGCAAGACTGCAGAAAATGCTAGACCATGTTGTGCAATGTTGCCTCGCATTTAAATTATTCCTCTTAACAGTAACAGCTCAGCAATCACAAGTTATGAGATTATGACAGATGGCCTGCCTTAAGAGGATGTGATAATGTGTACGTGCTTGTAAGTCGCCTCTTCCTGTATAAAAACTATTCTATTTCTGTATTCTGCGGAGACTACGGATCTGACCTTTCGTTAGCATTTGCTCCCCGTGATATCACGAATACAGCCTCTTTACCTCGAAGTCTAAAGCTCCAGTGTGTGACTAAATTAATATCTTTAGCAATCAGACAGAGTCAGCATGCATTTATGAAGGGGAAATCATGCTTGACAAATCTGTTGGAATTCTATGAAGATGTAACAAATACGGTTGACAAGGGGGAGCCAGTCGTTGTGGTATATTTGGACTTTCAGAAAGTGATTGACAAAGTCCTACATAAGAGATTATTGTACAAGATTAAAGCACATGGGAACGAGGGAAGTGTATTGAGATGAATAGAAAACTGGTTGGCAGAGAGGAAACAAAGAGTAGGAATTAATGGGTCCTTTTCAAATTGGCAGGCAGTAACTAGTGGGGTGCCACAGGGATCAGTGCTGGGATCCCAGCTATTCACAATATATATTAATGATTTGGATGAGGGTCAAAGTGTGACATCTCAAAGTTTGTGGATGATACCAAGTTGTGTGGGAGGATGAACTGTGACGAGGATACAGAGATCCTTCAGCATGATTTCGACAGGTTGGGTGAGTGAGCAAATCAATGGCAGATATGGTATAATTTGTTTAAATGTGAGGTTAGTCACTTTGGAATCAAAAATAAGAAGGCAGATTACTAGCTGAATGGCTGTATATTGGGAGAGGGGAGTGTGCAGTGGGACCTGGGTGTCCCTGTGCACCAGTTGCTGAAGGTAAGCATGCAGCTACAGCAGGTGGTAAAGAAGGTAAATGGTATGTTGGCCTTCATTGCGAGAGGTTTCAAGTACAGGAGCAGGAATGTGTTGTTGCAGTTATACAGGGCCATGGTGAGACCACACCTGGAATATTGTGTGCAGTTTTGGTCTCCTTTTCTGAGGAAGGAAGCTCTTGCTCTTGAGGAAGTGCGGCAAAGGTTTACCAGGCTGATTCCAGGGATGGCCGGTCTGACGTATGAGGAGAGATTGATTTAGTTCGGATTGTTTTCGCTAGAGTTTAGACGAATGAGGAGGGATCTCACAGAGACTTATAAAATTCTAACAGGACTGGACAGGGTAGATGCCGGGAGGATGTTCCCGATGGTGGGTGTGTCCACAACCAGGGGTCACAGTATGAGGATTCGGGGTAGACAATTTAGGACAGAGATGAGGAGACATTTCTTCACCCAAAGAGCGGTGAGCCTGTGGAATTCATTACCACAGGAAGTAGTTGATGCCAAAACATTGAATGTATTCAAGAGGCGACTAGATATAGCACTTGGGGTGAATGGGATCAAAGGTTATGGGGAGAAAGCAGGATTAGGCTAGTGAGTTGGATAATCAGCCATGATCGTGAAGAATAGGGCAGCAAGCTCGAAGGGTCAAATGGCCTCCTCCTGCTCCTATCTTCTATGTTTCTCTGTTTGTTATCTGTGGTAGTTGACAGGATTGTGCTGTGTATGTAGGTATCTGCTAAGGCTGGTCTATGCTCTGAATGTCCTGTTGTGAGTAGGATAG